AATCCAGAATCATCTTTAATTGTTTCATCGTTCTGGAGTGGGTCTGAAATGCCCAAACTAAAAGCCGGTGGAACAGAACTGAGAGTACCATCACTTGCAGTGTTCAATTTGCGAATCGCCTTCGTTCGATTCGGTTTGAGGCGAGACTAACGAAATACACTGTGACGTCGAAATTGCGTCACAGTGTCACCAAACCGAATATTTTTGTCGGTTAATTCAATTCAATTATCGAAATGCAAGAGCTTATATCTCACAAACTGTAAAAAATATCGAAAAACAAATAACGAATTCGTGATCAGCAGGTTCAACTCCTTTAGATTAACCAATAAAATTCAAGTGCAAAATTTGGCTGGAGAGGCCCCTTAACAAATTTCGTGTTGCAACATACATAATCATGATCACTGTGACTTTTCGATCAACCAATCAACCAATCAATCAATCAATCAATCAATCAACCAATCAGTCAATCAATCAATCAACCAATCAATCAATCAATCAATCAAAAACTTTATTAATGTGTCAAAAAAATATTTAGCTTACAAGCTAATTGGGGACAAAGCTAATCGATTGACATTTACCATGTGTATGTCATTATTTGGGTAGAGAATCACAACATATAATTTCGTACTGTACTAAATCAAATATTAAAAGAACATTTTGATTATTACCCTACCTGCTGCTGTGTACATCGGCACGTATTACACTTCCGAATATGATAGTTACTGTGTGGGGTCTTAAGAAGATACTTAGAAAGGTCTGGGCCCCAACCGTTACTGCATGTCTAGAATAATTGGTAGAACCCGGTCGTCTTTTTCATCTATCCGTTTTGGAATCGATGCATATGCAAACTGAAAAGCCGTCAAAGAGTTCTAAAGTGACAACGTCACAAAAATCTATTTTTAGAATTTCTGAACTTGAACCCCATAACCTGAAAGATCATAATGAAATACCTCTAAATTGGACATTTATACCGGTCATCTGCTCGTGTTATTCTGATTGGCTAACTTCGATCCATAACTGGAGATATATTTTCCATCTTGTGCTTTCGGACCCTCATTCTAACGTTTTATACTCTGAGGAGTGTCAGACGAAAAAGCTTATAGTATGTTGTATAATGTTCGCTTTTTCAAAGTCGTTATCATGATTTTAGTACTGTCAGTTCAATGCAATAATTACGAGAGCTGACAATTGCCTATTGCCTAGGCCTTGAGACTTCTCCCTAAAATATTTTATTGATAAAAAGTTTTGTTCGCTGTATCCAGAGCTCCATGTCTATATTTAAATACAATAAAACTGCAACTTCTACTTTTTGCAACTAGCGACATAAAAATTGTCTTGCTTCACGTAAGAAGACGAAATCATTCAAAATGCATTGTGACCTCAAGTTTATGAAGCAGTAGCATCAAACCGAACCAGTGGCGGATTTAAGGGGGGCATCTAGGGGCAGTTGCCCCTCCCTCACCGAGTTGAAGAAAGTCTGGCGCCCCTTTTTTGGAAATTGTGCACCTCTTTAGAAGAATGAGAATCAGGTAAAAAAGTTTCCAAGACTGTTAGGTTAATTTACTTCAAGGATTTCCTGAAAGTACACAACAATTATTGTGAACAATTTCCTTACAAAGTGAATACAGCGTACACTCGTCATCAATTTCTGAAAATTTTTCAGCGCCCCCATTACTACCCAGGGTACCCCATTACCAACTGCCCCTCCTTCGAATCTTTTCTGGATCCGCCCCTGAACCGAACGGTAATTTTCTCGCAATATAGTTCAGTTGTCGAAATGCAAACACTTGTAACTATAAAAACTTTTATACAATATTTAAGAAAAACAGAAAATTAATGATTAGCAGGTTGAGCCAATCTTTTCTTTTCTCTTTATTACATGAAGTAAAAGTATCTGCATTTTCTGACTATGGCGTATGACTGCTTCCATTCCCTATAGTTCGGTGCCACTAATGTTACTTACATTTGCACTTGCCTTGGTGTTCCGTGTAACATTCCCAGCAAACGAGCGGTATATTTCAAATGGCATCGTTCTCAATTCCTGCCGAAAGGCTTTGACTTCAAAAGCATAGATAATTGGATTTAGCATACATGAAGATTTTGCAATTATGCTACTAATCTGTCCAAGGGTCTCGTAAACATCGCTGTTGAATTTCGCACTGCAAAATCTCAGTAGAGAGAGTACCGAGTACGGTGTCCAAGCAAACAGCGTGGCCATGGCCATTACCCAAGTAATGTGGGCTGTTTTTGACTCTGCTTTTGCATTCTGGATCACTTCTGCAGAGTGAGGACCAAAATGCGCCCGTGCGTAGCGCTTCATCAGCTGCAGAGTTCTCTTGCATAAGATATTGCAAACGATGGACAAAACAAACGGGAGAATGAAACAGAATACCATGATGCAGATGACAAAGTTTCTATGAATTTTATCACCTGTATCCCAGTTGATAGTGCAGCTACTGAAAACAAACAAACTGTAGTCGTTCCATTTGAACAATGGAAATATTGCCCAGAAAATTGCATAGCCCCAGGCAAAGCAGATGAAGAACGCCTGACAGGTGGAGCGTGAAGCCAACATCTTTATTTTCAACCATGGAAAGCAAATATGTATGCATTTTTCGATGTTCAATATGACGATTGTGGATATTGACGCATAGGCAAAGAGAGTGACAATGAAAGCTGAAGCTTGGCAAAGAGCCGGTCGAAAGCCATTCGTCATCGAGCTGAGTTGCAAAGAGAATCCAAGTGACGACTGCAGTGCGTCACTGCATGCTAGACTACATATAAGACCCCGCTTGAAGAGGACGTTGCGATGAAATTTCTTTCTGAAGTAGAAATACTGGGCTACCACTGCAAGGTTTAGAATCAAGGATAATATCATCAGAATAATGATGCAAACTTTGTACCATGTTGCCATGAAATTCTTATCATTTTGGTCCGCTAATGCGTTCCTTGAGCTGTTGGCGAACATTTTAACTCTAGCTCATGCGACTTCCTTGTTATTTTTGTCCTGTTGTTGTCTTGCAATTAAGTCTTGATGGCACACCCTGCGAATAAAAAAAACCTTTTAATTATAAAAGGCTCTCATCCACGGTACTTCGCCAAACAAAAATTGGGTCGGTAAAATGTGCTTGTTATCATAAAAGTCTTATATCACCGCTCGGAAAAGAACTGCTTTAGGCTGAACAACTCAAAGAGCTTCTATCTTGAGCTCCTTTTCTGACACTTCCGTATCACAGCATCTTGGCACCTGCAAATCCAATTTAATTGCAATGGCCACAAGGGCTTTTTCTAAAACAAACTCCTCTTCCTGAAATTCAAAAATCTCTTCCTTTTTATAATAACGCAAGGATGATTATTACTATATTACTTATCACCCATTTTATCCTTAATAGCATATTTATTAAAATATTTTCAATGAACATGATATTAAGGATATTTTTTAACATAGCTTAGGTAGAGCGAAGGTACGTAAATAAAACTCCATATCGTTTGACTTTATTCTTGAATATATACAACAACGTGGCTGTATAGGCTGGGAAGAGCATATATGAAGATAATATAATAACAAGGCCAAAAGAATCCCCTCAAAATGGTATGGACTTTGAAGTTCATTGACATAGCAATAGAATAAAACATTTACAAGAGTAGGACTAAATAAGAAATGTTTTTGCTGGTGCAAAATAAATGATATTCATAAGAATGTACGTCTTTGAAAATAATACGAGAAGGACTATCATGTCTTCAAAACTATGTCTGTTTGTTAGTAGTGGGAAACTTATTGAGTATACCTAGTTCTTTGAGAAAACAAAAGTCTGAAATAAATGGTCACGACTCATCATTTACAAAAAGGCTTTTCATAACACAGCACAGGTTACCAGAAAAGAGAGAAATAATGACATCGTGAACCACAGGAGTCAAAAAAAGGATTCCTACATTGTCATCATAAAATTTCCACTTTTCCACTTTGTCCATCTACACATTTTTTTATAAGAATTAAGCAGTCTATATGAATATCAAGGCTAAAAATTGCTAAATTTAAAAAATGATGTAAGAATAATGCCAGGCTCAACTTTCATCAAGACGGGATTGAAATAATGCTTTTGGAATAGGATCGTTTTGTATCATTAGATTTTGCATTTTAATATAACATGTTTTGTTTTGTTTTTTCTTGTTGAAATTGATAATGGATCAACACATCAAACAAGATTTGATACTTTTCTTTGATCGAAAATTCCAATCACTGTACAAAACATAAACAGATGTTCGCGGGTTTAACTCCAATTACCAGAATGCATTGCAACATGAGGTAATTAGGGGAAAGGTCTTTTGCTAGTGGAAAAGATATGGGACAGTTTTATAAATTAGCACGGGATAGAAGAAAAAGGAGAGCCCCGGCTGTTTATTCTGAACCGTTTGTTAGATGAAGATGAGCGAAGCTCCATACAACTTTGTTGGTAGCAAAGCTCATAGGCGACTTGCATTTTTTCAGGAAGAGGAGGAGGGGGGGGGGGGCTCAAAAAATTAATGAAAGTTCCTAATGGCAGCTGCTGATGTCAATTTGTCTATAGCTATTATCACGTCAGCAAAGATCGCACGTTGCTTTCCCCTGATGCTTCCAGCCTCTCTGAATGATTGGCCTCGAGTTGGATCTGACCTTAAATTCACAATAATTTCATACTTTATTTTGCTGCAAACGCAATTATCTAATACAATAAAATCTTATGCGTGAAACCAATAATATAACAAACTAATCAAAAAATTGGTAAAGCACTTCCTTATTTTCCAGGGGGCTCAGCCCCCCCCCTCGGTTTTCGTTAGGAGGGGCTGAAGCCCCAGACCCCCCCCCCTGAGTTTACGCCTATGGCAAAGATCGTAACATGATAGCAATAATATCTTTGAAACCCCTTTACACGATCAGGTTTTGTCGAATAAATAACAGTCAAACATCTCAATTTTGTATGCAAAATGAAGAAGCAGGTTGCTTCAGCTGTCATAGCTATAGCACTGCTTGTGAAAAGATGACGAAATAAGAGGTGAAACCGTACGAAATGGATAAAAGGATGGCTGAGAAACCGTCCTGTTTTTTGAACATACTTCGCACTGTTAAACGAGTTGCGCTTCATCAAAGGAAAAAAACTACTTTAACTACATGAGTATTCAGCAATGAATAATGCTGTTTCTGAAGTTTGACTGAACTTTGGCAGAGCTAATTCCATGCTTTCTTTATAAATGATTGTACAGACTGAAATGATACAGAGCATGACAATTCGGGTGACGTAGCAGCGTGGGCGAGAAAAAATGTCATTCATTCACCTTTCGATTTTTCAAATGGAACAGAATACGCTCGATTCTTAAAAAATCGAATTCGAAAATCTGATTATGGCATTCGACATTTGATTTCTCTGTAACAAACTAGTTTAAGGGCTCCTTCTAAAATGACATAACACAGAAGTGACAATTTTTTGGCCACTTGCCTACCATATACAAACTATACAATGAAAATTTCCATCTATTCCAGCATAAATTCCATATTTACGACAAAATTCCATCTATGTACTTAAAATAGATATGTTACATTATTAACTTTCATTTTCATGCTTTTGTAAGATATAGTTTTTTGTTTTAATCAAGTTGTTATCAGTATATTCAGATCTTTGAATGATATAAAAGTTTACTTTATCTTTGCATTTTATGGCAATAATATACCAGAATAACTGTTTTTTCCTAAGTGATAATTATTTCAACTCAACAAACCGCTTTTCAGGACAGGAAGATTCAAATCTTTTTCATTATTTCGGGCTACAAACGATCAGATCTAGATTCATGAAGTTTGCAAGGCATTCTAAGATTTTAACAATCATAGCAAAAAATTTTTAAAACAAGCTTTATTGTTTTGCAAAAAAATACCTAGCCTATATCCCCCCCCCGCCCTCATCCCTTCGCCAGAGGCCCTGCTAAAACAATGTATTAAGGCTCGTTCAGCGCACAAACGCCTTCTTTACGATTAGAGAACTGACAGAATGAATATCTTCACATCTTCATCGTAAACTTTTTTGCCATGGGCCTCTAATCGACACTGACACACAGTAATTTCAATTTCAACAAGACTCCAAGTAATCTCATTATAAAAACCTCCTCCCTCCACCCTCCCTCCCCCCCCCCCCCCCACACACACAGAAACACACACACATACAGCCGAAGGATACTCAATATCAAGTAAAGACGTAAGAAGCATTTCAAGCTAAGTAGGCAAAAGTAAGAAGGGGCACAATGTTCTAAAAATAAGGGGCTTCCCATACATTCTTCACAGAATAGGGTTCATTTTCTAAAGGCTCGAGGAGGAACCTAGCCCGAAGTGTGCAAACATTTTTAAAAAATGGTAGTCTGGCATTGATTTGTGAATGATGGGTAAAAAAAGAAACTGGTAAAGATTTGAAAAAGTTTTATTGTATGACAGATGTTTTCTGAGTAAGGACCAAATGGCATTTTTCTGCAGTAACATTTTCTTGTAAAAAATGGAATTTGAACTTTTCTGCAACCAAAAAAAAATATTCTGAAATGACAAAATCGTGGCATTCTTTCCAAGGCTAATCGCGCATGCTCTAGTAGATTTTGCCGAAGTTATTTTTGGATTCGCTGAACTCTTGCACTTCGAATCCTTTCAAGTGCAGCTGAATCCATGTTATGTGAAAATTATCTAAATCTTTAATAAGACAAATTTTCATGATAATTGGTTTGAAATTGTGCAAAAATCATCAATCTAAGATGTACCTTGACAGGTTATTAAACTTACTAGAACGCTGAATATCGCAAATCACGTTCCTATGAATTATTGATTACCATACAGTAGATCTTTAAATAAGCCAGCCCCCTAAGCAGGGCTAACTGGTTTGGTTTGGAAAGGAGTTTTTGACAAGGGCTTTGAAAAACGAAACATTTACAATAATAATTGTGTTCACTTTTACAATAATAACAATTAAAGATGCTCACTTTTAGGATGAGGGTAATTCCAGGGTGTTAATGCGAGAACTAAGTATGCACAGGCTAAAGAATATTAACTTTCTATATTGCTCCTGACGAGTTGACAAAAAAATAGCAACTAAACAAGGAAAAGATATCTTGCTTCTTTTCAGAACCCTGACGTGACACTTAATACCTGCGGGAGAAGAGGGCTGGCTAGATATAAAGATATCGAAATGACTTCTCACATTATCGCAAGAAGTTCTTGGTGATATTGCTCAAAGAGACTGTCTGACTCTCTAAGATTCATGCATACTTATTTTCTTGTTAAAAAGGCACTCTGCTGGAAAAGCATTAGAAAAATCTTTGCTTCAGAAAGTTGAAATTCTCTCCGTTTATTTGGCGCTCGAAATTTGGGAAAAAATGTATTCTACTTGGGGAAGTATATCATGAGAATTGTGCGTATTGTAACCAAATTTTTCCCTTTACGAAGAACGTTTATAACAAAAGGGCATAATGTTATCAGGGCTATCACAGAATAGAAAAATAAAATATTCTTTTGATTTGTTGGTTAAAAGTAAAATAAACTATTTTGGTATAAAAAACAGTTGATGAGAATGTTTCTGTAAAAGAAAAGATAGCAAGTTTTGATTATAAACCTTGGAAAATGAAAAGTAAGTCCCTACAAAAATGTGAAGAAAAAACGATTAAAAGTACCTTAAAATGAATGCATGCTTCTACCGAATATCTCCTTAAAATGACTACGTTAAACTTGCTCGGTAATCCACTGTGTCAGGAAATGTATTCTTCTGTTCGGCTCCTGGATCAAGAGCTAAAGCTATCTCCTTGTTCTGCCCTCTGATTCATCTCAGATCGTGAATGATAAATAATGAACGATCTTTCAGAATAGACGATCATACGAAAATCTCTGCCAAGTAATCGAAACCGCCGTGTTTATAGTACAGAAAATGTAAATTCATCGAGAATACCAACATATGTCCACACAGT